ATCCCACAATACTTTCAAAATAATGCAAATGATACAAGTAGTTTACAGACTACTGAATAAAATTTTAAGATTTCTTTGCATCACTGTTCTTAAGATAGATTTTTAAAAAGAATATATAATCGTGTGTTCTGTTCTAAGGCAACTTGAAATAATTCTTTCTGTATTTCTGTATCATGATCTTAAGAAAAATTTAGGTTCTTCCTTTCAGCCAATTTCAGTTTTTAGGGATCCCTCAAGTCAAATTGTGTAATAAGGTATATTCAAAAAAATTTTACTTTGCCTGGCAAGCACATGGTCCTGAGTTCGATCCCCTGTACCCCCCCCACACACACACACTAAAGCTTGTTTCTCTGGCCCCTCTGCCATAGTTTCTTTCTCCTTGCATTGGTAGCTGCTCTTATTGGCTTTTTGTTGAATCTTAGCTCTTCTTGTGAACATACACAAATATATATTTATATGTATGTGTTCTTTTCCCCTCCTATATAAAAGGTTAGATACTATATCTTTTCTTTTTTTCTTCTTCATAACGTATCTTCAAGGTCATTCCATCTGAATAGATAGGGATCCATCTCATTATATGTGGTATTCCATTTGGGAATATATCATGGTTTATTTGATCACCCTCTGTTGGTGGGCATCTGAGTTGTTTCCAGACTTTTACTGTTACAAATAATGCCATAGTGAATACCCTTGTGCCTGAATAGTTCTCTGTTTTTGCCAGTGAAATTTTACAAATACTTCATAGAATTAGTATTGCTGGACACAAAATTAAGAATGCATTTAGAATTTCCTTACATGCTACTAAATTCCTCTAGTCCCACTAGCAATTCACTGTAGACTTTGTTGTTGAACTTTTGTATCACTTCTATAGGTAAATGGCATTGAGTGTACTTTTAAATATATCTTCCTAATTATGAAGAGGTTGTATACCTTATGTTTTTTAAACAGCCATTTACCTTTTTTTTTCTGACTGTTTTTTATATGTTTTGTACAATTTTTAGTATGTTGCGGATTACCCCTCCCATATTGAGGAGCTTTTTAAGTTTCTGAGATAATAGTACTTTGTCTTGATTTTAAGTTGCTACTATTTTTCTACTTTATCATTTGTCTTTTGATGTTTTTTATGTTATTTTTTGTTTTTTGACATTTAAATGTTTCATGTAATTGAACTTTTTTCCTTTATTGCTTCCAGATTTTCAGTCTCAGCTAAAAAAGATATTTTCCTACTACCAGATTATAAAGGAACTCTGCCATATTTTCTTGTATTATATGTATGATTGCTTGTTTTGCATTTAGATCTCTGGTCTACTTGATGTTTGTTCTAATGTAGTTTGAAGTGTGAATCTAATTTTATCATTTTCCAAATGTCTATTCAGTTGTCTCAGTACTTATTCCTACTGATTTAGTGTTTGAGTATTTCTGAACTTTCTTTTCTGTTCCATTAATCTATTTGTTAATCATGTAGCAGTACCAGTGTTTTTGTTGTTTTGTTTGTGTTAGGAATTGAATCTAGTATCTCCCAATCACCACCACCACCAAATAAAATTCTCATGTGTATGTGTTGTGTTGTGTGTGTGAGTCCAAAATCTAAATTCACTTTGGTTCTGTATAAGTAGAAAGTGTGTTAGACCACAAATTAGGGAACAAACTCAGCCATGGAAGTATTTCTAAGCAAATCAACTTGATTGTTTTCTGGGTTGTTTCTGAATCCAGTTAATGCAAATCTGGTAAGAGCACCACTAGTTAAGTGATGTGATGTAAGTTTACCTTTAATTTCCACATACCTTGTCTTTCTGTAGTCTGTATTCTTGAAATAAACTCTATTCTCCATTCTGATTCTTTATAATCTTTTTGCTAGGTTTTTCTTTGCTCCAGCTTGGTTGGTTGTTTGAGACAGAGTCTTGCTGTGTAGTTCAGGATAGCCTTGAATTTACTATGTTAACCTAGATTGAACTTGAACTCACGATGATCCTCTTGTCTCAGCCTCCCTAGTACTAGAATTTGCAGGCATGCACCACCGTGCTGGGCTTGCTCCAGCATTTTTTTCTCCAAGAATTTCTTTTATTAGCTTCCATTTCTTCCTGATGATTGAACAAAGATTGTCATTGTTTGTCTACTCAGTTTCCACTAACCTCAGTAGAGAAAAATTGTGTCTTGTCAATGTGAAATAGGTTTCCCCTAGCAGATACTTTCTTTACAAAGCAATAAACAAACAAAAACAGTACAGAGGCTGTCAAATCTGTTCTTGTGCAAAGAATTGAAGGAAAAAGGCTGCATGTAGAGTTTGAAGAATTCATACAAGTCTATGACCAAGTCATCAACTGCTGTTTATCTGAGAAAGTCAGTATTTCTCTTTATTTCCCAATACCCATCTTTTAAGATTTCAGGAAAGAAGATAAAAGAGCAAAAATGTGGAACAAGCCCTTTTGGCAACTATTTTATTTGTGAAATGGGAAGTGTTAGGATGATTCCAAGCATGTCTCAAGACTAACCAAATATAAAAATATTACTTATTTACCCTAAAATACTTACATTTAAAAGAATAATGGGGGCCGAGGAGATGGCTCAGTAGAATAAGCACTTCCCTGGCAAGGGCAAGGTTCTGAGTTCAATCCCCGGTTCCTCAAAACAAACAAACAAACAAAAAAGAATAATGAAAACTTCTCCAACCTCACTGCTGGTGGGTAAATTAGCCTTCAAGTCCTAAGTCTGAAGCCAGGGCAGGTGCGTGAGCCTGTACTGTCAGCAGTTGCCAAGTTGAGGCGGGGTGGCCGTAAGTGTGAGCCCAGCTCAGACTACACAGTGAGACCCTGTCCCAAAAAAACAAAGCTGAATGTGAGCCAGCATGATGATACCTGCCTGTAATCCCAGAGACAGGAAGGTTTCAAAGTCAAGGCCAACCTGGGTAATTTGGCAAAATTCTACCTCAAAAATAAGTAAAAGGCTAGATATTTAGCTCAGTGGTAGGACGCTTACTTAGCATATGTGAGGCTCTGGCTTTAATATTCAGGACCACCCAAAAATGCTAATTTTTTAATATTCAGAACCACCACAAAATGCTAATTTTTCTATAAACACAAGAGAAACATTTTTAATGTGAAAGACAAAATAGAACCAATGTAATGTGATAAACTTCATACTTGGGCTGGGGAGATAGCTTTGCAGTCTAAGCGCCTACCTGCCAAGCACAAGGACCAGGGTCCAATCCCCAGTACCACATGACATGTCAGCCCCAGAACCCCAGGCACACCATGCTGGCCACCAAAACTGGGCATGGTAGCACACACCTGTAATCCCAGCACTGGGGAGACTAAGACAGGAGGATCACTAGAAGTCTGAATTGCACTGCAAGACCTTGTACCAAGTAAATAAAAGATTAAACATCGTAATGAGGAAAAGTAAGTAGCTCAAGGAAGTACTCCTGCAGATAAAAAGCATAAATGGTCATTATGATTTGTGTCTGGATGTCCCCCAAAGCTTCCTGGTGTCATGAGGGGCAAGCTTTTCAGAGGTAACTAAATCTAGAATTTGTGATTGGTTGCATGGTCTGGTGCTGAGATTGGAGAGTGTAAGTGCTACTCTCGCCCTAGACAGGGCGGCCTATATTCAATATAAGAGAAAAAAATGAGGCTTGCTCTCCCCTTTTGCTCTTCTTGTTTTTGCTGTCTTCACCACCATGAACTGTTGCTCCTCTGCCATGTGCTGCCGTTCCTTGGAGCCAGCAGATTATGGCTAGATCCTCTGGAAACTGTGAGATCAGTAAACTTTTCCTCCCTGTAACTTTGGATGTTGGGGAGTATATTGCCTTGGCAATGAGAGAAAAGATGCTATGATAGTAAGGGATGGCTTTAAAGACTGAAGAACAAGCATTGTGTATAAAATTTCAGAGTCCAGGGGCTGGGGAGATAGCTCAGTAGAATAAGCGCTTGCCTGGAAAGCTCAAGGGCCTGAGTTCAATCCCTGGTTCTGCCAAAAAAAAAAAAACAAAAAAAAAAAAAAAACGCATCTAAAATTTCAGAGTCCAGTACCCTACTGGTTTTTATTATAGATAGGGCTTTGTCAGTTTCCTGAGCACTATTGCTGCAAATAAATACTAGAGTCTATTCCAAAACCTCTAGAACCATGAGAGATTCTCCAAAGCTAAGCTACCAATAAAGCTGTGATATTTCTAAGTGACTCTTTTCCTGGAGCTAAGGTGGGATAAGGAGGAAAAATAATGTATTTCATGGGCAAAGAAATGCTTCTGTTGTGACAGGCCAGTGTCTGGGTCTAGTGTGACCACTCTTCATGTCCCCTTTGACCAAGGTTGGGCCCAAGCTCAGCTCTAGTATGTCACATTTATCAGTTGTCAGGTAGTAGATAAAAGATGAAATTCTACATTTTAAAAAAGGTGGTTAAAATGGATTTAAATGTATAGTGACAAAGTGTCCTTCCTTCTATTCCTCCCTTCCTTTGTAAGACTTCATTTTTTAAAAAAATAGGCTAGCTTTAAGATTTGTTCTCTCCCAATTTAATAGAAAAATGTCTGCATTTTATTGCACATGTTCATATTATTTTCAGGATATTCCCAGTCTATCCCTCCAGTTTGATGTTTTAATATGTTTATCTTACTAATGCCAGTGAGGCCAAAAAAGAAAGAAAGAAAGAAAAATTTTCTCTCTCTGAACCTGCCTTTTAATCTCTCATTCTCATAAATTTGGAATATTGGTTTAGCATGTGAAGTATTAACTTGAAACTTGGGAGTATGCATTTAACCCCTTTTTCTCACCACCCCACACTCTGAAATGGAAAAACAATTTTATGTATTCAAAATAGGTGTATAATAGCACTTCACAGAAAAATCAGTTGGGGGATAAGTATATGTGGAATGCTTCTTTCCAAAAAAAGATTCAGTTATTGAGATATATAGGCCATCCACATAGGTAAAATATACTGTACTTGAAAGATAGGGACTATGGCTAATAAATACATCACTCTTAATAGAATTTTTTTAGCTCCACTTTTTTTTAGTAACTTTTTTATTATTACTAATTCCACTTACACACATGGGCTTTAAGCAAATTTCAGATAGTTCCTGAATAAAAATCAAAGTTGGCTGCCATTTATCATTTTATGTACTCTGTCCCATGAAGAACAAAAGATGGAAATTTGGCTATAAAGCAAGTCGTAATATTTATAGCAGTTCTGCAGGTGGTATTGGCAGGGATTTGTCAAGATCTTGATCAGAGTCAGGAGGAACTGAGAGATCTTGACACTGAATCTCATTGGAATCATCTTGATTTTTTATAAAATCTTCTTGTGGCAAAGGCAAGTTAAATGACTCAGGGGGTAGTGGAAATGACTGTTCAATACCAGAATTAGGATCTTCACAGTCTTGATTTAGGCCTTCTAGAGATGGTTGGACATTGGTAGAATCATTTGGAAGAGGAGATAGAGCTATCATCATGGGTTTGTCAGATTGGTTACTGTCCTGTTCTTCCAAATCAAGAAGGGGAGGTGGCAGAGGCAGATTTATATCATCCGAAGAGGAAACCGCAGTACCAATTGTTGACCCATCAGCACTGTCCTCTGATATACCATTTATTTGATCTTTTTTTTCTTCTGTTTTGGGGTTGTTGGCATCTTCAGTGTCTTCACTTGATTCAAACAATTTAACTTCTAAGTCGTCTGCTAAAAGTGGGCTTTTGGGTTTCCAAGTCATAAACGAAACAACTGATTGACGTTTTGTGGAAAGTTCATTTTCTCTAATGTTATCCATACACAAATCAGGGGTTTCTCCATCAGCAAATGGCGACCTACCAGCCCAATTTTGATCATGTAAAACAGGCTTTCTCAAGCATTTCCATAGTACAATCATGATTATAGATACCAACATAAAAGTCAGAATTGTACCAACTAATATGCCAGCTGTTGAACTATAATCTGTTTTTTTAATAACTTCCTTGTCACTGGTAGTATCTAAAATGAAATCTGGTGTATTCCTAGGTAAGTTTTTGACTGTTGATATTGACCATGTGGATAGCTCACCAACAGTTGTTAGTACTGGGTTTCCAGAAGAAGTGTGAACAGGTGATGATGGCTGTTCAGTGGGAGGGTAGACAGATGGTGTCGGTGATGGTCTGGTGGAAGTGTGGGCAGAAGATGGCAGCTTTCTAGTAGAGGTGAATACAGGCAGTGCTGTCGATGGGAAGGAGGTGTTGACTGTTGGTATTGGTTGTCTGGTGATGTTATAGGTAGGTGGTCTAGCAGAAGAGTAAGCTACTGGTTTTCCAGAAGAGACAGAAATAGTTGATGTTGATTGTTTAGCCATTGATATTAGTTGTCCAGAAGAAATGTTACTAAAATGTGTTGATTGATCCAAAGTATTCCTTGTTGCACTTGGAGCATTATCTGAGACATATGATATTGGTGATGTAAATAAAGTAGACTGTGTCTTCTCTGTTGTATTTGTTTCTGTGTTTGAGAAGAACACATTATTCAAATATCCAAAAAATAAAATTAAGATGATATGTTTGGGATCCATTTCAAAATTTTTCGTCCTTAACACTGGTTTTATAATGAAAGAAAGAAAGAAAGACAGTTAATTGTTATTTGCTGTCTAGTTACATTTGACTTTTCATTGCAGTGTCTGGCATAAAATAGGTAAGTGCCTGGTTACTATTTATTCCAGATTACACTTGATGCAATAGGCTAGTATAAACAGCTCTTAAATGTACTGCAGCTCAGCATATAGCATTTGGACTTCTTGGACAGTGACCCCTCAGTTGTTTTGTAAGCTCTCTATTAGGTCCTGCAGTCCCCACTCCCACTTCCTTCTATTATTCATCTCTCACGTCGTACTTGGCAAATACATCGGCTTGGTGTGCTGAGCCCATGTGCTCTTTACTTGTTCACTCTCTAGTGAAATACCAGAATTGTGTTTATTTTGCTTCTTTGAAGAATACCAGAGACCATTTCTTTCCTTAATCCAATTGTCTTTACTTGTCCTGTTTTCCTTCTTCAATGTTTGACACTATTGACTGTGCCTTCACTGATATTTTGAATAACTTTATAATGTAGTCTAATTCCTTTCATGACACTTTCTGGGTTGTTTTAGACAGGGCTTCACTCTGTAATTCAGGCTGCCCTTGAACTTACTATGTACCCCAGGCTGGCCTTGAACTCATAGCAATCCTCCTGCCTTAGCCTCCCAAGTGCTGGATTACAGGTGTGCAATACAGTGCCCTGACATTTCATGTCATTTTCACTAGCCCTCTTTGCCCTTTCCCATTTCCTACATAAAGATATTTGGTGTTTAGTTAGCTCTCTTTTCTCTTGTTCCAGATTCTATAAAATTTCTATTCTCACCTTTCAGTTCTCACCTTTTACATTATAACTCCCAAACCTGTACATCCAGCCCAAATTTATTTATTCTGATTTCATTTGGAGACTTTTTGGTGGACATTTTGTACATATATCCCACTACCAGCAAATTCAACATATTTGAAATGGAATTCATCTTTACTTCAAAACTGATTTCCAGCAGTCATAAGTTCAAGCCCAATCTGGGAAATTCAGTAACTTGGCAAGCCTGTCTCAAAATTTAAAACAAAACAACAAAAAAACAGTGGTAGAGATGCATCTCAGTGGGAAGGCCCTGAGTATAAAACTCAACACACATGTGCATACACATGATTCCTCTTGCAAACTTTTTGTTTTCCTATTAGAGCATGTGTGGAATATGGAATGTCCCTAACCCTCGCAGCATCCATAGTGTCTAGTACTCTGTCATTATGTTAATAGTCCCATTTTTGTAGATAGGACCCACTTCAGTCCTAGTCTCAGAATCATAGAATGTCTTTTGAATCTATTGAAGCCAGCCTTAGCCAATTGATTAAGTCTGCTGCTACTTCCATTCATGCATTGGTGTTATCTTTGTATCAAGCTCTGTTTTGGGCTTAGGATATTAAAAAGAGGAAGGAGGAAGAAAGGAAAAGTAGGTTGGTTCATGGCTTTAGGTAGTCTAGATTTTGTGCGGTAAAAATAAACAGGTAAAAAAGAATTACATTAATTTGATAATTTTCCTCAAAGGGATATTCAGGAAGTACGCAAAGGAATTAATCTAGCCTAGGAGAGCTTCAGAGAAAGTTAGCCAGAGAAGTAAAACTTCAACTGAACCTTAAAAGGTTTGTAAGAACTAATTAAGCAAATAAATATTCTAGCGAGGAGGAACATACAGGCACAGAAAAGGGGGCACATTTCTAAGTGTGTCGGGGAGGGCCTTTCTTGGAATATAACAGATGATAAGTTTTGAAGAGTTAAATTCCACATTTTACTTATATCTGTGCCACCGAAGTGCCTACCTAACCATGAGAAACAGCCCCTTAATATCTCCTATTCTTACTTGCCTTATTCTAAAGTGAGAAGTGGGCCAGGGATATAGCTCAGCAGTGCAGTGCCTGCTTGGTGAGCACAGGGTCCTGAGTTGGATTCCTAGTTCCCCAAAAAGTGAGAAGTTAACACTAAGAAAACTTGTAGCTCTGAGGACAGTACATTTGTGTTGCATCTCACCAGGGTGTTAGATCCTTATATGCATAGTAAGAAACTATAGTTTTTCTATGAGGGAGTAGATTATCTAAAAAGGATTTAATGCTTTATTATAAGGTACAATAAAAGATTTTAAAATGGACTTTTCACCTTGAGTTGGCTTTTCCCTTGCCATCTAGTACAGCAGTGTTGATAAATGGCCCTAGAAAGATAAAAAATGTCTTCCTTGTTTTGTCTCTTTCTGTGTATTTCTCTGTAATACTTCAAGCATAAACTTGACAGTAATTCTCCTTCAGAGCGTGCATTGGAGATGATTTACTCTAAAAGCGTATGTGGTCTGGCTAGTAATCCTTCGCTTGTTCCCATTACTCTTCTAGTAAAACTTCTAAACTTTTCTTCCTTGTATGATTTCTTTTTTTTTTAGCCAGCTGAGTAGGCCCTGAGGGCGGGGTCCCTTGCGTCTTCCTAAGCTTGACTAAACAGGTGCTTGAGACCCCTGAACTATCTCACTGGCCCTTCCTTGTTTGATTTCTAAACAAAAACTTTTTCTCCCTGAACAGATGTTTTTAACTTTGCTATTTTATACTCTCTTAGACTCCCTCCCCCCAACTCTACCTTCTTCCTCCTTCTGTGTATGTGAACCTGTCTTCTTGCAGACATCATTTTAAATTTCTCTTCTTAAACCAAGTTCGCTGTGACTGACCACAGCCCAAAAAGATCAGCGATTCACAGATTCTGTTCTTCATAATTCATTGTCTTATGGTTCCTTAGATAATTCTTCATATACATACCTCATTTACACTGGTAGACTCTTAAATATTTTATTACTTAGCTTTTCACATTTTCCTTTTGTTATTCTCATTCCCTTAATAAGATTATAAAGAACTTTGAAGAAGAAAGGGAGAAAGAAACAAAGAATAATACTTATCTAGAACATACTATGGCTTATATTTTCCCGCATGTTTTGGTTACTTTAATTTGACCTTTAAATCGCTCTATGAGGAATGATTCCATGATTTACAAATAAGCAAATTGAAATAACAATTCTAAAATAAGAATTCTACTAGAAGATAAGCAGAGAAGATAAAATCTAAGTAAATTCAGGTTTTTAATTCAGTTTGCAAAATGTTTAAAAGGGAAAATTTTTAAACTCTTGACGTAGATACAGGGATTTGTCTCAGCGTTTGTGATCCTCACTCATGCATTTTCAATCCTCTTTTTATAGATAACAAATGAATAGACTTTGCTAGAAAATGTTATTCTTCAATATTTTTTAAAAATGTTTTTAGAAACTACTTTCCAAAGTAACAGAAAATATAGGCCATGAATTGCTTACAGCCAGAAGTGTTTCCTCTTTTGTGACTTTGCTTAAAATAAAGAAACCATATAGTTCCTCCTTTTAGTTAGCTGAAAAAGATAGTAAAAGAAGAAAGAGCCCAAGAAGGAACTAATTATAAACCAAGGTTAGTTTGTAAGACCAATTTTGATAGGTTCATATCCTCTTATGTCAGCAGTAAGTTTGTAGAAACACCCATGTGATTTTCATTTGTCTTAATAAAGGTTAAAGAAATGTTGAAACAAAATTATATTTTTTATCTAGCCTACTACTTCTCTCACTCTTCAATTCACTGTTTATACCCTCTTAGAATCTGCTACATTAGAATACTAGAATGTGTTAGTTACTGTCTTACCACAGCAATTTAGAATACTGTAGAGAAGAGACAGCAAACTTTAAAAGAAATGGGGAATATAGCTGTAAGAGGAAAAACCTGCCTTTTTCATAGCAGTGAGAAGCCAGTGTTACCACCAGCAAGGAATGATTTTTTTTAATATTTAAGTGTTATGTACCTGAAGTATTCATTGTTTATGCAGGTAATGGAGGTAACAACAACAATATTAGAGAAGCAAATTAAAAGAAATGTAGAATAATGTAGAAAAGGCTGTGCAAAGAGACACAGAACAATACAAAGGAAAAAGATAAATTATAGGAACTAGTGAATATAGGAGAAAGGAAGATCAGTTAACTAACGAAGGCATTGAAAAAAAGGAAGTTAATAAATAATTGGAAAAATTGGTGGCTTATGTAGTTAGCAACAAGTTATTATTGATGATTGAAATTGGTAAAATGAAGCTACAGAAAGATTAAGTAGATAAGCAGTCACAAATCTAGTTCCCTCACACTAGCCTGTGTGGGTATGGAAACCAACAAAGAAGAAAGGTCTGACCAGGGTGAGGAACTTTAATGAAACATGCTATTTTTCATTTCAAGTTCTGAGTGCTTCAAGTTTTAAGATTCATTTTTCTCTCCTCCTTCCTTCCTTTTTCCTCTCCCATCTTCCCTGACACTATCCAAGAAGCATAGTTGTCAGTTACTCCAGAGAATCTGTATACACACATCTTATATGTAATTGTGCCAGAAATGAACTACCAACCTTCAGATGGCAACATTTTACTCATTGTTTTAGGCTGCCACTTGGAGTTTTAAATCTGTAATTTTGATCCTTTGTTTTTCCTGAATATTTAGAAGTGTTTAAAAAGAAGAAAAATTTAAACTTTTAATGAAAAGACATGTTAAAGGTAATTACAGTGAAGCAGGAGTCCCCATGTGTTAAACAAGTTCATATAAATATAATGCATAAGTACATAAAAAGATCCTACATTTAAAATAAATGTTGTAGAGTCCAATATGTTAAGAAGTGCAAATCTAACATTAAAATTTAGTAGTTGTGGTATTTCCAACTAGTGAAGTTTTGAAACTATAAGAGGAAGAAAACAACAAATTATATTTTGAATATTTTGAGTGGCAAATTGATTTCAGGCTGCCCAGAATAGTCTTAGATGGCCATCTGCTATCAGTAGTACTAGCTACCACTTACTGAGGCCCCACCCCAAATGCTAGGTACTGTTTTAATCTTGTAGGTAGTCATACTTTTATCTTAAAAAGAAAACTGAGAACAGAGAAAGTTGGGTAACCTGACAGAGTGTCACAGCCCTAAGCAGTGGCACTAATGCAGAAACCATTTCCGTCTTGTATCAGAGCCCTTCCATTTCATGCTCCAGTACATTTCACAACGTACTTACAGCTTTGTGAAGCACGGAGAAGTAAGCTTTCTGGAAACTGGCATATAAGTAATATTTGGAGATAGAGTTGTGTAAAACATACGAAAGGAAGTACTAGAACATTCAAGTTAGTCCTGTGATTCTGTGAAAACAGTTATAGAAGTATTGGATGGTAGGCCTGTAAGCTGTCATACTGAGTTAAGCTTCTGAAAAAAATTGTGGCCCTTTAAAAAGAGTAGACATTGAAGGGCATAAGATTTATGTTTAGCAAACTCAGTTATTCAGAATTGGTGATTCTAAGAATTATATAGCAATTACATAGTTGAAAAACACACTATTATAAACTTTAAATTTGGAACTAGATTAAAAAAACAATTAAAAATTTATTTTCTGACTTTTGTAATAGTTCTTAGACAAAATCCAAAATGGACTGAAGTGTTGAGAAAGGCTATAACCCACTATGAATTTATTATTCTTAAAATTGCTGTTCTAGTAGACTTTTTATTTAGTTCTATATTTTTGTTTGGTTTGTTTTTTTTGTTTTGTTTTGTTTTGTTTTTGAAACAGGGTCTTGCTAAGTAGTTCAGGCTGGCCTTGAACTCACCATGTAGTCCAGGCTGGCTTTGAACTTGGTAGTGATCCTCTTTCCTCAGCCTTTCCAGTGCTGGCGTGACAGGTGTGTCTCACCAAGCCCAGCAAACTTTTTATTTAGAGGACAAATTCACTTTGTAATTGCCTAGTTCTCTCACAGAGTAAGCATCGTCCATATACATGAACAGTTTTCTATTATTTCTTCAGTAGATTTTTTTCCTTTGTTATGTACACTGCTAAAGGCTCCAAGAACAAAGTAGAAATAAACATGTATACAATGTGAATATATGTTGTCTTGGGATGCTTTAAAATGAACTATATTTTCATACTATTATTAAATATGAAATTGTTTGTATAAAAAATTAAACGACCAAGTATGGTGGCACATGCCTGTAACCCCAACACTTGGGAGGCTGAGGCAGGAGGATTGCTGTGACTTTAAGGCCAGCCTGGGCTACGTTGTGAGTTCAAGACCACAATAAAATTAGAATATTTTTCCAAGTGCCAGAGATAGAGCCTCATGCATAATGGGCAAGTTTTCCACCACGTTGTGCTATACTCTCAGGCCCTAAAATTTTTAACAGTTAATAGTTGGAGATTTTAAATTGAGTTATAGCCTATGGAGTATAGTTTTATATCGAGCCCTTAGCTTTACCTGCTACATCAGTAGTTTTTTTTTTTTAATACAAAGCTAAACAAACATTTTGATTGAATAAACTTTATAAGGCTTATAAAAATTTAGATGAACATCTTTCTCTAAGGCAAGTGCATTGAATTTTTAAAAATTCCATTCAGTAAAATCATAAAAACCTGTTACAAACATCTTTGAACTATGAGAAATTTAGTTTAAAACAGTAAGAATACTTTAGTTTTTAAAATAAATTTTATATAAAATAAAAATTAAACCAGATGGCCTATGGGAAAATTGTCTTACCTGTTACCTTCTTTCGCAGAATGCTAAATTCTTGTTCTAACAGGACATGTTGATGATTTGGCTAAGAAAGTAAAAGGGGTGGTTCAATTCAGATTAAAAATGGTCCTTCTAACACGCTGAAATGGTGTCTGTAGAACAGAGGAAGTTTATCAATAGCTGTTGCCGGAAGTGCAATAAGCCACAAAATGACTAAGAAATGTACTACTTTAACAGAACTTATTTTGAAACACAGTGTATATGATTTGATTGCCTTTAATTAATATTTATAAGTATATATTTGAGACTCTCTGGTATTATGATTATGTAATTTAAATACTTAGAATAGAGCCCTGAAGAAATTATATATTTAAAGGAAAACTTGCCACCATTTGGTCAGTACCCATAGTGAGAACCTGCTAACCACCACCTCCTTCACGCTGAGATACATCCTGAGCCGAAGCAGGGCTGCCAAAAGTCACTAAATTATTACCCAGGTAGGTGTTGCAAAGCTGCCTGAGCCTGAGTGCTGGAATTACAAGTATATGTCACCATACCTTGCTGAGATTTCATATTTTAAGAAATAAATTTTGTATTTTGTTTATCTGTATGACCTTAGAGGAATTACTGCACTTCTGAGTCACCATTTCCTTCACTTAAAGAGTATTTCGTTTATTGGATTATTATGAATATTAAATAAGATAATATCTATAAATGCTTCATATACAGTAGGTAACCAGTAAGTGCTTATGTTATTTCCTCATTCATAAGCCCAGGTGAAAGTATAGTTAAATTATTTTCACCGAATAATTTTGGTTTTTTTTTTTTTTTTTT